ATATGCTGGGGAGAGGAACACCAGTATCATTGAAAAGCTCAGTGATGGCTGTCCTTTGTAGGCACGAATGACAGTGAAAGATGTTATACAGCTGGTTTCAGTGATGGCAACAAGTATAATAGAATCTTGAAAAAAATAGAAGCCCATTGGTAGAACTTTCTTTAAAAGCAAAGTGTATACATTATTGTAATGAATTTATGAATCTGCTCGAGCTGCTAAAACAGAATACTGTATAGACTGAGTTTTCTGCTTAAATATCATAAATTTCTTTTTTCACAGTTCTGGATATTGTGAAATCTTGGACGGTCCAAGGCTAAGATGCTAGCAGTGTTGGTGTCTAGTGAGACTGCTCTTCCTCTCTTGCAGGCAGCCACCTTCTTGCTATGTCCTCACATGGATTTTCTTTTGTGTGCATGCAGGGGGAGGGAGATACAGGTGGAGAGAGAGAGAGAGACAGAGAGAGAGAGAGAGAGCGAGAGCGAGAGAGAACTCTCTTGTTTCTTCTTATAAAACACCAGTTCTGGCTGGGCACAGTGGATCATACCTGTAATCCCAGCACTTTGGGAGGCTGAGCGGGAGGATTATGAGGTCAAGAGATCGAGACCATCCTGGCCAACATGGTAAAACCCCATGTCTACTAAAAATACAAAAATTAGCTGGACACAGTGGTGCATGCCTGTAGTCCCAGCTACTCAGGAGGCTGAGGCAGGAGAATTGCCTGAACCTAGAGGTGGAGGTTGCAGTGAGTCAAGATCATGTCACTGCACTTCTGCCTGGCAACACAGCAAGATTCTGTCTCTGAGGTGATGGTGAGGAGGTGGGAATGAGGGGGCAAGACACCGGTCCTATCAGATTAAGCCCTCACCCTTATTACCTCATTTAACCTGATTTACCATTTTCCTTTCTCCAAGTAGTCACATTGGGGGTTAGGGATTCAATAGACACATTTGGGGGAATACAATTCAGCCCATACAATAAACATTTGGGCCAGTAGTGTTATGGTCTAATCTTCTGAAAGCTATGAGAAGAGTAAATAGTGCATGGCTTCCTGGTAAGCCTTCTTCATGTTTTGGGGGTAAAATATTTCATACTTGAAAATACTATTCTGGCAAAAGAATAACAGCTTTGACTTGGATCCAGAATAAAAAGGCTCTGAGACAGGTTTAGGCTATGGTGCAAGTAGTTCTTCCACTTGGGCCATAAATTCAGAAAATCCTATAGTATTGGAAATATACATGGCAGAAAAAGATGTCTTAGTCTCTTTGAACTGCTATAACAAAACATCTTATACTGGATAATTTATAAACAACAAAAATTTACTTCTCATGGTTCTGGAGGCTAGGAAGCCCACAATGAAGGTACCAGTAGATTCCATGTCTGACATGGGCCTGATACTCATAGATGACACTTCCTCTGTGTTCTCACATGGTGGAAGGAGCAAGACAGCTCCCTTCAACCTCTTTTATAAGGGTATCAAGTTCCATTCATGAAGGAAGAGCCTTTAAGGCTTAATCACTTCCCAAATGGCTTCACCTCTTAATACAATCACATTGAGTATTAGGTTCCAACGTATAAATTTTGGTGGGACACTGACATTCAGAACTTAGCATCTATCATGTAGAATTTTAAGGAAGCTCTAAAAATGGACAACATAGGGTTGTAGAGCACCACAGGGGTTCTGGAGCAAGGCTGTGCCATCTGCAGTAGAAAATTACACATTTGAAAGGTAACTCCTGTTGTGTTACTGGGTCCCGATAGCTACAGAACTCTTGACAAACAGGGCTGGTATTAATCATGTCTCCATAATAACTTATCATGAGTTGGGTGTGAGCCTACCCACCTATATTCATAAGATATAAGTAATATATTTGGGAGAATAAGCAAGTTTGCACATACAGGTGGTCCAGATTCCATATCAATCTCCATAGTTCAATGGGTTCCTCTCTTTGGTTCACCCCTATGGCCACAGTCTGAGAGGAGTCACTGATGACCAGTTGACAGGAACAAAGCCAAGTTTCATTCACAAAATTAAGTCTCATTTTACTCACTTGATGTGTGAGTGTAAACCATAAGTAGATTGCTGGTGCACACAGCCATTGTGGGAAGTGGCCCTAATAGGCAGCAGTGAGGTGACATACTCCCAGTGGGCCAAAGTTTTGGCCAGTGTACTTTATTGTTCTCCTGGGATGGACAGAGAAGTGGCCTGGGGGAAAATATCTACAGACTCACAGATAATGACATACGGGTTGGCTAGTTGCTTAGGACCTTGCAGATGAAGGAATGGAAGATTGGGAACCGTGAACCCAGTTAAAAGGACTGTAGTGAACCTCTGACAGCAGGCATGAAATGTAAAGATCTTGATATTACATGTGAATGCCAATGCCAACCAGAGGGCATCTATCACACAGGAGTCACCGAACAACAAAGCAGGCAGAAGGATTTGGCCAGATGATATCAATCAGTCTCTATAACTGGCTGCTCCTGGGCTTTGTTTGTTAACAAACAAAGTTGCCATGGTGGAAGGAATAGAGGGTATGCGTATGCGTAAACTCACACAGCATTTTACTCATCAAGCATGATTAGCTACTATAAATGCCAAGTGTTTATTTGTTCATCAACAGAAACCAATAATGAGTTCCCAGCGTGGGACTATCTCTCAAGGCCAGTCAGCCACTTTTGACAAGTTAATTACATTGGACCTTTTTTATTCTGGAAACAGCAAGAATTTATCTTGACTAGAATAAAGATATAAACTGAGTATGGATTTGCATTGGCTGCTCACAGGGCCTCAACAGGTACCACAATCTTTAGGATTACAGAGAGTATCATCCAGTGACACAGGACCCTGCGTTCCATCACCTCAGGCCAAGAATCCCTCTTTACAATAAAGAAGATGTGACAACTGGACGATGACCATGGACTTACCGGTCTTATCTCATGCTACACCTTTGACAAGCAGTTGGGATACCTTTACAAGGCACAGCTGATGTGCACATGTGGCGATAAAGCACTATCATCAAAGACGCAGAGTACACACGAAATCAACAACTATTCAATAGCTGTCTTCAATACATAGAGTGCATTAGTCTCAAAATTAAGGAGTAAAATTGGAGTAGTGCTCTTTACTGTTGTTCCAGGTGATACCTTTGGATTCTCCATGCACATTTGCTTCCCATGCACGTAAGTCTGGACTTTCAGGTTGACAGACCCTACTTTCCAGAAAGAAGTACTGTCAACAGGGAACAGAAAAGTGTCTCCATACACTTTCATGGTTTCTGCCATCTTACTTTGGTCTTTCATGTCAAGTGCCTAGCAGGAAAAGGAAGGGTAACTGATTGTGGTCATTTACCTGAGACAGCATAGCTGTTATTCAATGGGGACAGGAAAGAGTATGCTTAGCATCCAGGTCATCCTCCAGAGTGTCTCTAGCTAATATTTTTTTTCCTTTTATGTTCAGGGGTACAAGCACAGGTTTAATAAATTTGTGTCATTGAGGTTTGTTGTTTTTGATCGTGAACATGCAAGAGCAGCGGCCATGGCCTGAGAAAAGCAGGATGACCAGAGGTTCAGATCACTTATCTGATAAAGGTATAGTCACCCCACCAAGTTAACTCCTGATGCCAACAGCAATGCTAGCTGAGGGTGCTGAAAATTGAGAATGGGCAGTGGGAGAGAGCCATGGTGAGTTTCAATTGTGGCTTTTAGTTTAGCTGCAACATTTGGGGCTACAGTTTGTTTCAATAAACTGTCTTTCCCATTTGCCTAGTAAAAAAGAACAATAGAATCCTAACGATGCTATTCACAGAACATACATGAAACAATTGGATCTCAATGGCATCAGCGGTAGACCATAAAGGATGTTTTGTGCAGCGAGAGTCCTCCTTCAAGACTGTGGTACTCTTTCCCTTCGCTGTTGGAAGCATTGGTCTCTTAGCTGCAAAAAGATCACTTAGCCCAAATTGTTCACCTCTCCAGAAATGGCCTGAATCTAATGACAGGTCGGTATAGAGAAATGAAGACCAGGCACACCCACTTCGTGGGTAATTCCAGAACATCATCCTAACTTTAGAGCAAGTTGTGGGACCCTTTCCTGTGCCTGCATCTGATGAATTCAACTCCTCTTTTGACCTCACCCTACTGTTTCACTCCTCTACAGATGATTTAAGAGCACTCCCCAATAACTCTGTGCAAACATGTTTGTATCAGAGTCTTATTCCCAGGAAATCTATTTAAAATAGTGGCAGAGACACAATGGTCAATTGTGGCCCAGGCCACAGTTGAATCCAGAATCCAGAGCCGCCTGAGTAGCCAGGCTAATCTCTTCTCTTTTCCTATTTTCTCTTCATTTTTGGCTACCACATCACTCTTAAGACATTCTTTTGATGGTTAGTGGTATGCTACTTGTGGTTTATCTTCCTCTGATCCTGCCCGCAGGTTGCACTGAATCTCAAAGCCTGTTGTACAAAACATTTAACCGGGGAGAATAAGGAATATTATACCTTCCATCTGAGGCCCCTGAGCTAATTGCAGAGCTGTTCTGTATATCATGGCAGTAGACAGCACCCCTCTCTCTATCTGGCTAATCTACTGCCAGGATCTTTGATCGAACAGTTATGGACAGGTTTATGCAGCTATGGTATCACCATTAGACAGTGTCTCAAAGGGTGCCAGTGATTGGTGATGGGATCTTCGCATGTGAGAGGCACATGCTCAGTGCTGACATTGAGGATGCATACGTATCTGAGAGTTGAAGCTCTTCTTCGCACATAGACACATTAGGGGTCTGGGCCTGCATCACCTCCTCCTCTGATGGCTTTGGGAATGGTGCGGTAGAAAAACAAACTAGGGCCTGAAGTTGAAAGGACTGATTCCACCTGCATATTCTTCCCCTAAGACCTTGGGCAAGTGGCTTTGACCTGCCATGCCTCATTTTTATGTCTTCTACTTTGGTGATATAGAACAAAAAGTACCTCCTGAGTTTTTGGGTCGCTGGCACCCACCTTGTCAGTGCCCTGTTCTCCACCTCTTTGAAAAAGACCATGAAGGCAGCTTCAAGACAGGTTGAGGCATAAATGTTCCCAGCCACGGTGCAGACTTCTCCAGACCCCAAGCCTCCCGTGGGAGCATATGTCCTCCTGCGTAAGGTAGAGTCAGGAACTGACCTAGGGATAGGAGATGGTAAGGTCCTTGTAGTAAGTACTTACGTGTCTGAAGCATTAGTGGGAGGAGGTAGCATAGAAGAGTCAGCAAAAGATCCCTTCTATCATGTTAAAAAGGGAGGGGTGTGTGTGTGTGTGTGTGTGTGTGTGTGTGTGTTTGTGTGTAAGTCAGAGGGCAAAGTAGTTTTTTTAATATCCACTAATATTTTATTCCAGAGTGCTTCTTTAATATTTTCGTGAGGATTTCTTTCTGACACATTTTTATATCCTCAAGCTCCACTTACCTAGGCGTTTTTTTTTGAGCCCTTAAGGAAAACAAAACAAAATCCTTCAAGATTCAGGTGCTATGTTATTATTTTATTTTCGACCATTAGATCTCCTCACCCTTTTTCTCTCAACCATGACTAGAATTTCTACGTGTTAATATTTGAGAGCACAGAATATTTGCATTACTGTTCTGTTCTCATCCACTATTCCTCTGTTCCAGCCCATCTGACTTCAGAAGGAGTGATCACTGCCCACATATGGGCGATAATACAGAACTCCTTATTCTTGAGTTCTCCAACCAGTTCAATCATAGGCTCTTACAATTCTGTAACTTCAGGTTCCTGATGTAGTTGGACACCAAAGCAATGAACAGTTCAGTTATTAAATACCAAAAGGGAATGGTAGAAATGGACAAGTTATTCCATCAAATAATGAAGACCTCTGGTTAATACATAATTAAGAGGAGTATTTGTTAATTGTAGATTCATTCTCATCTCCCTTCCTACCTGTTTCTACCACCTGCTCACCAACAAGCCTCTTCCTTCCTCCGGTTCTTTCCTTTGCCCTAAATTCTATTCTAAAAACGGTGCTCAAATTAACTAGAGCTCAGATGTTAATAAACCCATAAGTCAGGAATACATTTAGCTTACTTCTCCCTGCTTAGAGGCATAACACAATTACCAACTTACTAGAGCTAATGGACGATTCTTCCCATGAGGAAGAGATGTAATAAAAATTTCTAGCTAGCTTTTTTTTTTTTGCAAGATAGAAATGAGCAAGTGTCTTATTACAGCCACATGTACAGAACCTTATTCTCCCTAACACACTGACTATCTTCATGTGTACCTGGTATGGTGCTGAGATCTAACTGACAGTAATGGACAGACCTGAAATTCAAAGCCAGATCTGTTTGACCCCAAATACTATGGTCTCTTCCAGATTATGAATCAGCTCACTAGCTTCTAAACTCATTTAAAGTAGGGTTCCTAGGTGCTTTTGCTCATGGTTTTGTCTTCAGCACCAAACTCAGTGCCTGACACCCAGGAGACCTAGTCAATGAATAAATGCTTCTGAATATGAGTCATCTCCTAGCGGGGACACAGTGACATTCCATTGACATACACCAAAATCATTAACAACAACTATGTCTTTATATTCAGTAAACGCGTAACAAAGAAACCCTGCTTTGTGACAGGGAAAACAAAGCAAGCCACCTGAAAGCCATGGTAGACTCTGTTGCCAAGTACCCCAGCATCCTTGCAGCTAGGAAAATGAAAATTTATTGGCGTAAAATGTTGAGAAGCCATGGATGGATTTGAGTATCTTCCCTCTAGTTATATATTTGGCTCGTTTCATCAGGGATCACAAAGATTTTTGACATTACGTGACCAAAAAATAGGGTTTTCTGAACATACGATATGCAGAATAGCAATACTGTTTCATGACAGATAGTAGAGCAAAATGAGTGAGTTATGCAGATTGTAAAAGAAATACAATTAAATCAATTAGTTTCTGTCTAATTTATTCTGGCTCACTACTCACAGAGTCTACACAGGTGAGTACAAAAGACAGAAACCATTCTCACTCTGAACTGGCCAACAACGATCTTGAGAAGTGAGTGATGCAGCATGCATGAATACACTTCACCACAAGAGCACTATGCACACAAAGAAATAAACATTTCAAACACCAGACAAGGAAGTTGTTTCAAAGCCTTCACATTATTAAAGTAGGAAATCTCACCAATCAGAAAATTAAATAAACATCAAATAACACATTCCTTACCTTGTGACTTGAATGTTGTTTTTCACTACAGAGTAAACTGATTTCAGGTTGGGAACTAGGTGGCCTGCCCTACATGAAGGTAAAATAAAGCAGAAGAAAGTTAATGATTAAACCACATTGGAGAGAAACACACACACACACATACACACACACACACACACACACACACTCACACACACACAAACTGCGGCCCTAGCTGGCTGTAGAGAAATTTTCAAAATGTTTTCAACATCTGAATTAAAATTCTGTCGACGTACACATGGTGACCTCAGATATGGTTGTCAGGAGAGTTTGGGGCCAGATAAGGTAGGCAACTCTTCTCTCGCCAAATCTTAGAAATAACCTGAAGTCTTACTGAACTGATGCTTCACTTCTCATGGGTTCTGTTTTTGTTTTTACTCAACATTTATTACTTAAAACTACATCTTCTGTCCCAAAGGACTATGACCTGTTTGAAAACTATGTCCATGTTAAAATTATTTTTGTGATGAAAATTGTTTGAGTAAAATTAAAAGAAATTTTCTCTCAGAAGGGATGTAATTCCAAGCCAACATGCTGATGAATTGGAATAACAGAAGTATAGAATATAAGTTTTGGAAGTGTTAAAAGAAAAACTTCAGACAAACTAAATTTAGCAGAGCTTATTTGAGCGAAGAAGATTCATAAATTCAGCAGCACTCAGAACCAAGAGAGGTTCAGAGAGCTTCACCCAGCATGTGAGCAGGCAGTATTGACAGACTGAAAAAGGAAGTGATATGCAGAAACAGCTCGATTGGTTGTAGCTTAGCATTGGCCCTGTTCAGACAGGTCTGAGCAGTTTGCAGCCCGTGATTGTCTGAAAGTTCAGCTGCTGAGATTGGCTGAGACTCTGTTCCTTTTTACAAGAATGTACCCTCAAGTTAGGTCGCAGTTTGTTTACATGTTACACTAGGTTACCATTTGCTACGTATGGAGGCAGCTTTTGGTCAAACAATTTAATTTAGCAGAAGGAAATGTGAACACTCTAACTCCTTCTTTAAGTAGGAATCCTCTTTGGACATGCTTCCAATTTACATGTAGCCTTCCATTTCTTTAGTCCCTTCTGTGGCTAGAATGTGAATGACCCCTCTACTGATATCATTTTTAAAGACTTGTAGTAAAATATATGATTATTACCATGGTAACCATTTTAAAGTATAAAATTCACTGACATTAAATACATTCACGATGTCGTACAACCATCACCACTATGTAGTTCCAGAACTTTTTTATCACCTCATTTATTTTTAAAACCAAACTCTTAATGACTTTCTCTTTCTCTGGATGTTATTGACTAGTCAACAAGTATTAGACTATCAGTGACACAAAGTGAAACATAGTATCAGACATTCATCCAGCAAGCATTTACTGAACACCTAGTATGGATAGCTCATCCAGGAATATCAAATGGGGTTGGAAATCAGGACCCTATCCAGTTTCAGATTATTCAGCCACTCTGTGTAGCTACCTTCCCCCTACTCCATGTCGACAATGGAGGACTTGTAAATAAACTGACCTTTCAGGCCCACTGTGAGGATCAAATAATATTACATGTGTCAATCAACTTCAAGAAGCATAAGGTGTTATGCAAATGCAAGCGGAAAAGAGTGAAAGCTGTTTTGAAAAATTAAAAATCTCATTTGTGATCCTCCAGAGAGAGCCATATCCAGGAGGTGATTAACAGACATGCATAACATTGGCTTGCTAATGAATTATCACTAATGAGAAGTCAGATAATTAAATGGCTTGTTAGCATCATTTTGGAGCTTGCTTCAAACTGGTATCTAAAAGATATATCAAAACCTCTCTAATGACTATACTCTTGTTATTTTTCTTAATCTTCCTTTCTACTCATCTAAACATGACTCACATTGTCAGCAACATAGGACCTTATGTCTTTGTTAAGTATGTATCTATGAATGAGTGATGGAACATGTGAATGTATGAATAAGTTGTCTGCATGCTATAAACAGATGAATTTGCTAGAGAAGCAAGGAGTGGTTCATGGTGAATTGGTTTTTCAAAAATTTGGAGAGGAGTCATTGGCCCATAAAATTAGGAGAAGAGAGGAAACACCATTTTCTTTTTCTTTCCACAGTTAGAAATGAAAAATTCTTGTTCTACATGAAGCTACTCTTTGTGATGCTGACTTGTCCCAAAGATTAACACTTTATCTCCAATCTGCCAATTTGAGGCAGAAAGAAAGGTTACTTTTATAAAGAACTCCTTGCTCCCTCTGCTGGCCACACAGAGTACACCACATACAGTAGAACCTGTCATTCTCAGGGATATGAAAATGAGCTCACACAGGGCCTTTGGGATGCAAAATCTATTTGAGATTACGTGAAGAGTCTCTTACCAGCTGCAACAAAATAATGGCAGAAAACAATAATTAACATGAAAATAATAGTGACTAATATTTGTTAAAACTGACCCTGTTCCAAGCACAATTTTTAGTATTTTACATGCCTTTTCCTTTTGAGTTTTCTCTGTCGCTGGTGACAGATTACTATAATTTGGGTAGGGATAGGAACAGAAAGTAACTATTGTTCAGACACATTAAAAATGTTCTGTTTGGCATCAATTTTAGACCATCACTTTTTAAAGAGAGACTTTATTTTAACTCTAAAGATTCAGAATCCAGTAGGGGTCTCTCGGGTTAAAAGTCATGGTATAGACATAAATGATGAACTTATTTAATTGGAGTTTTATCTGTTTTATGTAATTAAGACAGATCTTACCAGATACCTAGTTTTAAGAGCCCAAGGTGATGTTAAAATTGGTGCATCAATCAAAATTCATCTACGTGAGAACTTAGATGAATTTTGATTGATTTACTGAGGTCCATCTGGAAAAAATGATAAATGTACTGAGGTCCATCTGGAAAAATTCCTAGATGGACCTCAGTAAAACATTCTTCCATTGGTGTTTTATTTTCCTTCAGCTTTTTTTGTTCCTGCTTCCAAATGCCAAATACTTTGGCAGGAGCTGGTGGGATCACGTTAATATAATTTTAATGCAGATATGTTTTATAAAATATTGTGAGAAAAGAATATGTAGTTAAGAATATTGTATGAAGTATGAAAAGATGACAGATTTAGAAATCAAGCAAATGTGGTTTTACATGTTCTGGACAATAGGGATAATTATAATAGTGCTGTTGAAAGGACTGGAGATACAGTGCCTGACTGGGTTCATGGCATATATTGGGTGTGTTAGGGCTCACTAGAAAAAGACAGACAGATGATGATGATTAACGTGGATAGATGGATGGATGGATGGATGGATAGATAGATGGATGGATAGATAGATTAGATAGACAGAAATAGATTTACATAAGGCTTTTTGTGTTTGAGTAATTTTGAGAGCTGGTTAACCAACCTCTGTAAGATTATTGTCTCAGAGACTGTTGATAGAGCTCCACAAGGCAGGCAGGCAGGAAGGGAAGACAGATGCAAAGTGGAGACAAACAAGAACAAGCTAGAACCCACCAGTAAGATCTGGAACTCAGGAACTCAGTAGGACAAACTATATATTGTCAGGTCTTAGGGCTGCTGGCTGTTGCCTTAGTGGTGTGGGTGTTCTGCAGAAACGTGGTGCTTTTTGTTTTTGTTTTTGTTTTTGTGTGAGAGAGCTAAATACACACATTCAGCGCAGGAGGCCAATAAGCTAATGGAGAATCCAGTGGAAGGTGAAACCATTGCAGTCTTAACATCTGTATCATGCCAGTTAGGTAAGCAAACAAGTGAAGAGCAATACATGTGACTATAAAGAGCTGCTGCTTTACTTCTTTCCAAATCTCACAAAAGAATCTCTTTTTTGGCCTACTCAGGCCAGAAACATACAGAAAAGGGAATCTGGAAAAGTGGTTCAGCCTAGCTGAATTGACAGATTACAAAGCCACCACAGTAGGTATCCGTTCACTGATCTCTTGACATCTGTGCATTATTCATGAGAAATGCCTACCTTTAAAAACTTTAATTATAGGTAACATTATTTAGTTGTATGGTTTATTATGTGTCTACTGATGAGGAAGATGATGTATATTTATGACAATGAAATACATAGTAGCCTATGAGGTGGCAAATATAGGTGACAAATAGATCTAATCTTGAATTCTAATACCAATTTATTAAGAGTATTGGACAGTAGTTGTAGGCTGAGAAGAATTCCAAACTGTATTTAATAATCTTATACTGAGTACCTACTATATGTGAAACACTATTCTAAATGCTGAGGATATAGCAGTGAACAAAAAGTCAGAAATCCCCGCTTTCATTCTAGTAAGTGAAGACAGTTAATAAGTAAATAAATAAGCCCAATATGTAGCATAATAAATATATTTGAGCCTTGAAGAAACAATGCTGTGTTCCAGGGGCAATGTCTGAGGTTGGAAACAGTTTCTCATGAGTATGCATATTTCATTCTAGTTCAGAAGAGCAACGACATGACAGTGATGATTCTTGGGAATTTTCAGAAAGCCCTGAGAATTTTGTCCATTGAAATCAAATCCTTCTTTCAAATTTCAATTGAAAGATGATTTTCCACCTTCAGAGGTCTCTGCTCTAAGAAGTAAACACGGTGTTATGTTGCAGTGCATTGGTCAGAATGCTTGAAGGAGTCTTTACAGAGCAGGTGTAGAAGATGTGACTGTGAAGGAAGACCAAGGTTAGGTTGAGAGGACTTGAGTATAAGGCCTGTTACGTAATATCAGATTTAAGTTGTGCAGTATGGATCTTTCCAGAAGCTTATGAAGCCAGCAGTGATAAGACTCATGTTGGAGTTCGATCTTCCCTCTCCATATAGAGTTGATTGTGAAGACAAAAATCAATAGGCAATATACCTGGTTCTTGTTAAAACTAAATTGGAATGATTGACTTTCTTCTGAAACATTTAGATTCCAGAAATATGTGGACCTCATTATGGAAAGATAAATATTTACTCTTAAAGTTTTATAGCATAGAAAAAAGCAGATGCAACCCAAATATCAATAGAAAAATGTAGGAAAACTCGGTCTTTATGCAGCAATTTAAGGTAATAA